TTAAGTATATTCCCAAGGTTGCTAAACATATTTGTCATCCTTTGGGAGAGAGGCATGAACGGTGTCTTGTGGAAATGTACAAATTATATATTGGGTTAGTACAAACTATCGGCAAAGATTGTAAGTCATTCTACTTTAGACCGTCTACGTCCAAGCTTAGGTTTGAAAAAGCTCCTGTGGGTATAAACAAACTAAATGATATTTTGCCTGAATGTGCAAGGCAGCAGGTTTAAAGCGAAAGACCAGTCATTGCCTTCGTGTTACTTGTGCATCTTCTCTGTTTAATGCCGGTGTAGAGGCGAAATTGATACGGGAAAGAACTGGTCACCGTTCTGACTCTTTGTTCAAGTATGAAAAGCCTGCGAAGGAGAAAATTACAGAAGTATCGTTTGTATTAGGGCCTAGTACAAGTGTTACTGAAGTGAAAATCGCAGAGGAGAAAGATTTAAGTTGTTTGACGAGTTCTGAAGCTCAAGATTTTGTAAGTGCAGGACCACTTAACAGTTGTTCTTTTGCTAATTGCTCTGTTAAAATCAAGGTTCAATATCTTCAATAAGGAACTCATATTTAAGAATTGTTGTTAACAACAGGTATTGCATTGTTTCCATGAGTTGAGTAATCAATAAAAATCTCATTAAAATGCAAAATGTTTGATCTCAGATGAAAATCATGTTTCATCTCAGATGAAAACCTGGTGGTGTTTCATCTGGTGTTTCATTGGGTATCAAGATTCTTCCACGTGACCCAAATGGAGGTTATTTATTGGCTTTTGACTGCATGAATAATTAATGAGTTTGAGAATTATATTTGAATTATATCACTTATCTTTGACAAAACAACAGATACATCTTAATTTGAAGGATATATTAATCGGTCTTTTAACACCAGAACCTCCCTTACTTAACTATCTGTTGCTTATAGGAAAAATTTATCTATGGGCCGGCGTGTAGAAGGAATAGAGAACTTCCAAGTATACGAGGTTTTCAATCAAAAGTCAAATTAAAGTACGAGACTGAAAAATATATCTGTACAAAAAGTAATAAATTAGATATGTTTAGGAAGAAGTGGGTAATATAAATACTTGAGATAGTTGAATAGTATAGTGTATGTTGGGCTCAAACAGATGCGACTTGCTATGTAAACTTGTTCGTGAGTGTGTGTACGTGAGTGAGTGTGAATTAGCGGTGTTATACCGTAGGTCCTGTTTGTTATGTTTAGTACAGTAGTTAAGTATTGTAATAAAATTTGGGTAAATAGTTGTGTGCAATGCAATAAAAAAAACGGTGAAAAACAAAACAAAAACAAGAAACGAAAAAGCTTTAGCATACATAATTGAACCTTAGATGGTTATAGCATTTATACATCAGTAATAGCTAGCGCCTGTTAGCAAACTTGTCAATGCTGTTTAATCCATC